GACGATAACAGCAAAACAAATTTGAGCTCCTATAATGCTCATTTGTTTATATCTATGGATTCAAAATAAATAACTGAAAAGGAGCAATTTCAAGGATTTGCATGCGTGTTCAAATGACACTACACTGCTAGAATATAAATTTTCATTTAAGTAAAAAATTGTTTGGACACTCAACTTATTGGTGCGTTCTAGAGTTGCCAGTCCTCTTTCTTGTTATAAATTCAGCAGTGAACTTCCATTTTTCCTACCCTGTTAATTATTTCGCTCAATTTTGTCAATGGAAACTACATAATATGCACCTTGGAGGACAGAATTCTTATCTGGCATAATTTTAGACATTAAATACCAATATTGGCCAACTAGAACAAGTTGTTTTAGGATATAATCAGAGTTTTGAGATTGGTAATGTGTTAACCGGCTTCAACACAATGATAACTTATCTCTGCTGGTCAATTGTTGGTATTTGGCATCTCAAATCTTGGAAGATATTAATTCTACCCTTCACGTGTACATTCCATTAGCCTCTATTGATGGAATTGAGTGGAGTAACTAACAAGGTTACCGAATTAAAATTTAGTGCTAAATTTGCAACAAAAAGAAGGCAGTTAACCAAAATACGCCATACCTATAAGTTGAGTGCCTAAATAGGTTTTTAACCCAATTTTTTATTTGATAGTCGATCGCACCCTAAAACGGATAGGTTTGATCGTTTCCCTGCATCTTCAGGAATGCACCAGTATTCCCCACCCTGTTGAATTGTCTTGAAATAGTGGGATCACTCTGAATGGTGTACCATTCACTTTTGATAGTATATCTCATTTATAATGTTCAAATACCTGCATAAGGTAACAAATCCTCTTTCTTGGTTTTACTTTGTAACTATGACCGTTTTACTTTGTAACTATGACCATTTTACTTACAGTGCATACACTCTTCGTCCAGGTATTGAAATGCAGATGAAGTATAGTCCTCTTCTATTTGATCTTGATGCTGGGCATAAAATGTTACCAAAAATAATCCCTTGGGGTCACCCTTCTCGCCTCTCTGAGATTGTGGAAGAGGAAATTGTCAATTCATTGGTTTTGATGGAAGAAAACTGCAGTCTGGTTGAAATAGTTGTTGAGGAAGACAAATTGAATGAAAATAAAACACAAAATACTTGTGTGAAGGATGGTGAAGCCGACATCATCGAGGAAAAGAAGGAAGCTATGTTGAGATTGCACTCCTCAACTCAGGATGATGATGAATGTGTACAAATTGGTACTATTTGGGAGTTTTCTGATTCCTCTCACTCCCCAATAGCGTTCGCTCGACGAAATAGACGGAAAAAGATTGATGCAGTACTTTCTGATTCTGAAGGGGAATGCTTCGATGAGAGGAAATCCATTGTCTCTGGGGAAATAATTGATGGTGTTAATGGCGACGCACTTAAAATGAAAAGCTACCCAACCGATCCCTGTTCGCGTACTGAAAGCTGTTGCAATCCAACTGAGCAAATCAATTTTAAAGTAGACAAGTTGGAGGAAAGTTGTAGTCAGCTGCCTGCTGGAGCTGATAATTCTCTTATAGATGAGAGAGGTAAATCGCTTGATATTTACCATGAGCCAGAATTATCATTCGTCCCCGAGACAGAAATTATGAATGAAGGAGAATTATTTCCAACAACAGTATCTCATGGTCATTTTGCCAATGCAGTGGGGGCTGAATCTGTAATTCAAGATTCACTACTAAACTTGAATCTTGTCACAGTTGATAAACTCTATCAATCTTTACACATGCTTCCAAATGAAGGAGAATTATTTACTACCACAGTATCTTACGGTCATTTTACGAATGTAGAAGAAGCAAAGTGTCTGACTCCAGAATTACCACCAAACTTGGATCCTGTCAGTGGCATTAAATTTGGACATTCTTTACATGTACTGCCTACTGACCAGGAAATTTTAGGAAATAAATCTGATACTAATGAAGTATTAGGTTATCGAGAGGAGGTAGGAGATTCTCTATCCAAACACGAGGAGGATGTTCCAAGAGGGTATCAACTGATGGATGAATGTAGCCGCATAGATTTCATTAGGAGACTGAACTCCTTCACTGATCCTGAACCTGATTGTGTAATCGATTCTTTACAAGAAACATGGAAAAATCTGCGTGCTGGTGGTGAGAATTTCAAACAGTATGTTACCTCAGAAGAGAAAAATGCTTGCCAAGCTCTAAATCTTGCACATGGAATGAGTAATTTAATTTCGGAAGCTGATTTATTAATTAGAGACTGCCAAGTGTCATTATGTGTACGTGTTTACTCATAGATTTTACTCCCAACTTTTAAGAATGTGATGTGCAAGATGAAATTTTTTCTTTCATGCAGGATTTTCTGGAGCCATCAATGATTTCTTGTGAGAAATCATATTCGTATAGTTCTTGTGATGATCAATTGCAAATGTCATCTGTTCTTGCTCAACATGGAATGTGCTACTATGCTAAAGAAGCTGCTGCTTTAGGATCAAAAATCGGGTCCATAAGCTCAGTAGATTTGGCATCGGAAATGTTAGAGTCCTCTGCAAACACGATGGCACTGGGAAAACTAGTTTGTCATTGTGAAAGAAAGATTGAAAAATTAAAGATGAAACCACCAGAAAGTTGCAATCTCTTAAGAAGGTATGAGATTTGAGGTCAAGCTTTTCATGTGGTTATGCTCGAAATGTTGCTTCCCTTGTTATTGATCACACAAAGATGCAAGTGAATTACACATTACTAGCGGCTCATGAATATAAGATGATGTTTTGAGTTATATTTGATCTTTACATGCCATCACTAAATAGTTTAATTCTGCCTTTTTGTCTGACTTGCAGCAAAATGGACTCAAATATTTACAATGTACTTAAGTCTGTAGTTCCCTCGAAGTCATATCTGTCAGCAAAGGGTGAGGCATTTCATGAATATCTGGCAGCATTAAGCCAGATTTCAAGATTGGAATGTTGTTTATCTGACTGTGTTGACAAGAGAAAGCACAGAAGGTATGTGCTCTCTGTCAAATGTATCCTTAAACCATAAAAGTCATTTATGCTTTTTAGTTTTATGATGATCATGTATTTGCTCAAGACGTTGTTTTGTTCCAGGGCACGGGTAGCACGACATTATTTGAGTTCAGGTTCATTAGCATTGTCTGCAGAAGAAATATCCTTAATGGGCAAACACAACAGCTACCGAAAAGGCTTAGTCCCATCTTAGAGATTAAATTTGAGATAAATGTCTAATAGAGGAAGGTTAGCAGACTTTGGATGTAGTTCGTATTTGCTTATTTGGGGGCATATGTTCACTTAATAAGCGTTGTCTCTTCAGGAACTTAATTCGAGGAACAAGTTAGCCTTTCCAAAGAGCTTCGGAGAATGAGATTAAATTGACCACTGACTATAGTTATAGCTGCCTTGTGAGAACATTTGCTGATTGTCTGATTAAAAGCAAAAGTTTTATCTCGAATCAGCACACTTTTCCATCTAGGATGAAGGCACACATTTCCCTAATTGTAAATCTGTAAGGAATTAAATTGTATTGTTAAAATGCAAAGACAGATGAAGTGACGAATAAAAGTGAAGTATTTATTTCCAGAACTTTCAGAAGCTACTAGTGCAATGGATGTTTACACGTATAACTTATGGTTTCTTGAGTTTCTTTTTGTCAAGACTGGTTATGGGACTTATTGACACCTACTGATATATAAGTTCTCTTTCAATGACCTCAAAAAACTGTTCGATTACATAAATCCAGTGATAATAATGTAGCTCCAAAACTAGCTAAGGGTATACTTTTAAATTTGACCTAGTCAAAGGGAGGGAATTTCACTTTGACTTTGAAAATCATGAATATTATGATATTGGCATCTTGAATGTTAAAAGATAAGGATGCCCTTAAATGTATTATATAATTACTAAACAATGTATTGTTGAAAAAACTTTACTACCCTTTAGTTAATAATTGAAAACCAAACAATTTCTCATTTATAAAACTTCAAAACGAGCCTCAAAGACAGAAAAACTCTCATCTTTCATTTACTTGAACCTCAAAAT